CAAAGTGAAGAATATTCTAATGGGGGCAATTGGACAATGCTCAGAAACAACTCCTCCTGATCACAGTCCCTGTGGAAACCATCAGAATTCGTCAGAAAGTAGCAGGTACACTCACGGCAGGTGGCGATGTATTTGGTCAGAGTGAGGCATGTGGTAAAAACATCCAACCAATTTCTGAAGAAGGGTCCCGACCCGGAACGTCAACTTCCCTGCTCCTCTGACGCTGCCTGACCTGCTGTGTTCCTCCAGCTCCACACCTTGTTATCTCTGACACCATTGTCTGCAGTTCTTACTATCTTTCTATCTCTAACTAAGTTAGTCTGCCACCATGCCAATGGACCCATTATCTGCATGTTGTCTTTTGGATATCAGCATTACAGTGAGAGAATCAATCCCTGCTTAGGCCAGGGAAGGGCTTTCACCTTTACAGAAGAGAATCTGAAAACAATGCAGGAATTGTGAAAAACACAAACAATTCTTTGTACAGATAGCAAGTTGACATCAACTTTCCTGCCCCTCTGATGCTGCCTGGCCTGCTGTGTTCCTCCAGCTCCTCACTGTGTTGTCTCAACAATTCTTTGCATTTTGTGTTGGGTGCATGCTGTTTTGCATTATCTGGTGATGCTAGGTATAGAGTCATAGAGTTATACAGCACAGAAACAGACCCTTCAATCCAACTTGTCCAGGCCAACCATACACCCTTAAATTAATCTAGTCCCATTTGTCAGCATTTGGCCCATTTCCCTCTAAACCCTTCCTATTCATGTACCAACCCAGATGCCTTTTAAATTTTGTAATTGTACCAGCCTCCACCACCTCCTCTGGCAGCTCATTCCATACAAGCACCACCCTCTGCGTGAAAAAGTTATCCCTCAGGTTCCTTTGAAATCTTTCCACTCGCACCTTAAATCTATGCCCTGTAGTTTTGGGGCACCCCCACCCTGGGAAAAAGACCTTGTCAATTCATCCTATCCATGCTCCTCATGATTTTATAAACCTCTATAAGGTTACCCCTCAGCCTCAGACGCTCCAGGGAAAATAGCCCCAGCTATTCAGCCCCTCCCTACAGCTGAAACCGTTCGTCCCCGGCAACATCCATGTAAATCTTTTCTACACCCTGCCCAGTTTCACAACATCCTTCCTATAGCAGGGTCACCAGAATTGCACACAGTATTCCAAAAGTGACCTAAAACCAATGTCCTGTACAGACACAACATGACACCAGCTGTGCATCAGCTGACAAGCCGCCTCTTTGAGATCACGTGGACATGTTTAGTCATCAGTTCAAGTTCAAAACAGCTTCAGGCCAGCATTAATGCCGACTGTAGAATTGGCTGCAATAATCAAACTTCGCCTACAGTGCAGTGTTGAGTCTATCTGCACTTACAGTTAGAGAACTTTCCGGAATGAGGCCATTTAGGCTATTGCAAGCCTGATGGCTATTTGAAGGAGATAGCCAATGAGTCTCAGAATCAACCACCTTCCCTCAACCCTGACTCTTATGTCCAAAACACTACAACTTTATGTCTTTTCCCTTTTTAAAAATTGCTATTGAATCTGCTTCCAGTGCAAACATCGCTGTTAACAAAAGCGCAATGTGTTCTGAGAGAAAATATTCTCCCCTCTGTTTTCTTTGCCAACATCGAGCACTGGTGACATCTAACGTTGACAGTTGGATTGTGACTCGGATGTCACGTGACCAGTCTGAGAATTAGGGTTCTCACTTGTGTGTGACTTTTGGAGGGAAATCTCAATATTCTTAACTTTCTGGGACAGACTGTAGTCGTTGTTGACATTATTGTGGGTCTTTCTCACAATAGACTTTACACTTAAGTCTAAGTGCTAGACTTTACACTTAAGACTAATTCCAGAACATTCCTGCATCTATTCGCTAATTCTGTCTTCTAAAGGCAAAAGTTAGAATGCCAGTTTCCCTTTGCAATCTACGAACAGAATCTTAGCTTAAATGAGCCATTGAAACTTGAGATTTCTCATGGTGTGAGATTGGCGATGCTCCTCCTTTTAAAGATAAAACACATTCTCCTTTTTTATTCATCAAAGCAAGAATCCCATCCCCTAGAGGGAGCCAGAATTCTGGGGAACCACCATTGCCTCCAAAGATGAAGCCATAATTTGTCTCCAAGTGAAGATTCCTAGCAGTGAGAGAACTGTTGTCACTTCTTGTGAAAGTTCAAAAGCCTCCAAGTTATCAACAGTTTGTGCCAACGCACCCCAAAGCGATCATTAAAGACGGAGAGTGGATGGAGGGTGAGGGAGGCTTGAGTGGAATGGAGGAGAGGGTGAGGAGACAGGGTGGGAGAGACTGGGGAGGGGGAGTCAAGAAAGATCAAAATTTGAATTTGCTGAAGGGAGACATTTGATTTGAGATAACAAGGTGTAGAGCTGGATGAACACAGCAAGCCAAGCAGCATCAGAGGAGCAGAAAAGCTGACATTTCGGGCATAGACGCTTCTTCATTTGATTTGATTTGGTTTATTATTGTTGCATGTAGTGAAGAGTATTGTTTTGCACACTAACCAGTAGAAGTCATACTTTACATAAGTACATCAGGATAATAGAACAGATTGCAATAGAATAGATTACAGCTACAGAGAAGGTGAAGAGAAAGATCATCTCTAATATGTGAGAGGTCTTTTCATAAGTCTGATAACAGCGGGGAAAAAACTGTGCTTGAATCTGTTGGTATGTGTTTGCAAACTTTTGTATCTTCTGTCTGATGGAAGAAGGTGGAAGAGAGTATAAGCGGGGTGGGAGGGGTCTTTGATTATGTTGGCTGCTTTCCCAAGGCAGCAGGAAGTGCAGACAAAGTCAGTGGGAGGAAGGCTGGTTTTTGTGATGGACTGGGCTGTATTCACAACTCTCTGTAATTTCTTGTGGTCTTGGGCAGAGCAGTTGCTGTACCAAGCTGTGATGCATCCACATAGGATACTTTCTATGGTGTATCTATAAAAATTAAGAGTCTTTGTGGGCATGCCGAATTTCCCTACCCTTCTGAGGAAGTAGAGGAGTTGGAGTGTTTTCTTGACTGTAGCATTGAGATGGATGGATCAGGATAGATGTGAGCAATGCAGCGATCGCTAGATATTTGGTGTTGAAATTTGAGAATATACACTAATACTGGACTCTTATTGTAAAGGGAGTGGATGAGATCTCACAGGGTTAAAAAAGAACACAGATTACATGTGGAATAAAACATATTAATGTTGTTAATGTCTTGTTTGAAATGAGGTCTGTGGGATGAGGACAATGGGTACAGACCGATAAATATAAATAATTTAATTGAGGTCCTGGAATAAAATGAGTTTCAGTTGGAGGGTGAGCTTGCGTACACCGGGAGGAGTACAAATTATGCTGGAATCATAAAGGTATTCAGCATGTAAACAGACCCTTCGGCCTAACTTGTCCATGCTGATCAGGTTTCCCAAACTGAACCATCCTCTTTTGCCCTCATTTAGCCCAAATCCCTCTAAACCTTTCCTATCCATGTACCTGTCCAGATGTCTTTTAAATATTGTACCTGTACCAGCCTCAACCATTTCACGCACAAATCACCCTCTGTGTGAAAAGGTTGTCCCTCGGGTCCCTTTTAAGCCTTTTTACTTCAATTTTTTTTAAATAACATGCTCGCATTTTAAGGGACCCCTTAGCAGGTAAAGAGGACAGGAGGGTTATGACTTTAGAGTTCCTTCAAAGACGCAATGGTCCAAATGGCCTCATCCTAGAAGGTTCTCAGATTGCAGTTGCAGACATTTAGAAAGCTCAACCGTGGCTGGAGTATTCTCCCATTTGTAAGTAACTGTTGTGTGTTTTGTTCCGTCTGCAGCACTAGATCCCACCAAGGACCCATGTCAAAAGGTGAAGTGCAGCCGACACAAAGTGTGCATCTCCCAGGGCCAGCTGAGGGCCATATGCATCAGTCGCAAGAAACTACAGCACAGGTTAGATGCGCTACGGGTATCGCTGCATTCACACAAACACACACACACACAGTCACACCAATGCAGCTCGCTGTGAGAGCCGTGTAGACCTGTTTCCATCTGCCCTCAGTCAGGCTGCGTACATGAGGGAAGCTCTCCCTTCAGTAATGTCACAGACAACCCCCACCCCTCCAATGATGACATACATCACGCCCGCCCCATTGAGAAGGCCACACCTGTAGAAAAATGAATGTATGCTCCTGTTGTAATGTGTCTGGAGAATTTGGGCGTGGAGCTCATTGTTCACAATTCGTTGCCCTCTTTGACAAGCTCCCAGTAGCCTTCATGCCCCCTGCACTGTGCAAGGCCCATCATATGCCCTTCATCTGATTGTACCTGATTGGATCCAAACCCAATTCCCACCATCCTGCAGACAATAAGGACTGCAGATGCTGGAAGCTAGAGTCAATAAATGTGGAGCTGGAAAAGCACAGCAGGTCAGACAGTATCCGTGGAGCAGTAAAGTCAACGTTTCGGGCTGAAACCCCTCATCAGGGTTGACTTTACTGACCCGCAAATGCTGTCTGACCCACCGTCCTGCATGAGTTAAAGTAAGGCAGCTTAGTCCAGCCTAGCTCACGTCCACATCAGATCGATGAGGATCTTTTTCCATTCACATCTGCGATCAATTCAATCCCACTAATGGTGACATCTCCTGAGCTAACCTTGGCATCAGGATGTGAGGATACTGTGAGCAGCAAGATGTTAATCGACTGAATTGATGAGACAATTGTCATTTGAGTGATGACACTGCTTCTGAAGCTGGGCAGAACTCGTGTAGAAATGATCCCTGATAACGAAACAGAATCCTTTTAAGGTCAAACTGTATTGATTGTTCTGCATTATTAATGCACTCGCAGTCTCCGCAGGGAATGTAATTGTCCTCAGCATTCCAAATGTTTTGTTACATTTCGACATCTGGGCAACGTTGTGAATTGCTTCGGTGTGCGCTCGGCCAAAGGAGAGCTAATTTCAGTTGATTCACAGGGTGGTGGGCCATGAACAGAGTCCTGGGGCTGGGTGGGGGAGAGTGTTTGATATGATCTCAGTTGGTGCTCCCAGCAGGGACGTCGGTTGACATCTGTTGAGAAAGCAGATCATAGTGTCCCTGCTGGGTGGAAGCAGGCCATTCAGCCCATCAAGTCCACACTGATCCTCTGAAGAGCATGCCACCTAGAACCGGCCCTCTACTGTATCCCTGCAACCCTACATCTTCCATGGATGATCCAGCTAGCTTGCATATCCTTGGACACTATGGGCAATTTCCCATGGCTGATCCACCCTAACCTGCACATCTTTGGACTGTGGGAGGAAACCAGAGCACCCGGAGGAAACCCATGCAGACACGGGGAGAACGTGCAAACTCCACATAGACAGTCGCCTGAGGGAGGAATTGAACCCAGGTACCTGGCGCTGTGAGGCAGCAGTGCTAATCACTGAGTCACTGTGCTAGAAGGTTGTAAAGAAAATAACATAGCTCTTATTGATTTCTGTTTCAATGTAGTTGGAGGAAGGAATTTAGATTTCTTCAAAATAGATACAGGCAATTGGTGGGCCCCATTACTGGGAGCATTAAGGTTTTAATTGACAACCTGGCATTTTGGTAGTCTGTGAGGGGGAAAGCTGTCCACTAGTTGGAGTCATACTTGGAAGAAAGAGAGATGGTCGTGTTTGTTGGAGGACAATCATCTCAGCTCCAGAACCCCTCTCTGCAGGAGTTCCTCAGGGTAGTGTCCTTGGCCCAACCATCTTCGGCTGCTTCATCAATGACCTTCCCTCCATCGTAAGGTCAGGAGCAGGTATGCTCACTGATGGTTGCGCAATGTTCAGTTTGAAGACCTCATCGAGATCTTTAAAGAGTTTTACAGAGTAGGCAGAGAGAAGATTTTTTTTATCCATGTGAGTGTTCAAAAATGAGGCACCGTAAATATAATAACCAATAAACCAAAGAGGAGCACAGGAGAAGGTTGTTCACTCAGAGTGGTTAGAATGCGGAACTCACCACAAAAGGGAGTTATTGAGGTGTCCAGACAAGTTAGATAATGCATGATGTCAGGCGGTAAAGCAGGATATGTTGCTTTGAGGAGAAGGAAATAGAATGGGAAAATGCTCATATGGAGCTTAAATGCTGGCACAGACTGGAAGGGCTGAAAGGCCTGTGGCTGTACTAGTCCTTTTAAGTGGCGATTAATTCCGAAGTCACTGCGGCTGTAAAAATAAATTTGAACATCTGTAACTTCTCAAAGTATTTAATGCCTATTGAAAAATGTCCTTTAAAGGGGTTCCTCGCTAGTTGGTAGGAGATACATTCCAGAAAAATCTGTTGAGTAGCAAAAGAACAACATACAGCATTTATTTCCCACAAGAACTGAATGAATTAAATTTTGGCAACATGCCAAACAACGACATAGATGCGAAAGAACTGCATGAGAAAAGAAAATTGTTCTCTAATAAATTAGGGACAGATATCAGAGGAGCAAAGTAATGTGGATCCGTTGTATCTGTGTTAAATATTTCTGCTGAAACTTCTCTAACTCATGCTTAACATGTAACGGAACAGTATTGGAAACTGGAATGAAGCAGAGTTCTCCTATCCAGCTAGTCTGAATTTCTGTAAAGTAGCTGCGCAGATCTAAAGCCATTGCTGACCAATCAATAATTGCTCTAGATAGGAAGACAGAATTGCTAGATAAGAATAGACCAAGGTCCATCTAGTTCAGTTTCTACCCTACTGATAAGTCGCTTAATCCAATGATAATGGAATTCTGGTCCAATAATGACAATCAATTATTATCAATGAGTCAATAGACCCAAGCATGAGGTGAGACCAAGGCAGTGATGGAGAACTTTGAAATCTTGATTTCACCTGTTCCTGCCAAGTACACTCTACTTACCTCATGTTATGGCTGACGTATTATTCCACAATGTTATTTTCTGAACCTGCATGTAATTTGTGTTTAGAATCAGATAGAGTTGATCAGTTTACCATCTCCCTGTTCCTTTGATTGGCCACTTGCTCACTGATGGGTTGACTGAGGCAATAGGTCAGGTTAATGGTTGCCAGCACTACCCCCACTCTAAATTCCCTCTCTATGCTTAGTGTCCCAGAGCTGAAGACTTGCAAGCCTCTTGCTGCTTGGATAAACTCCTTGTCGTTCTGCTGCAACTTGTTGGAAGTGAGCATTGAGAGTTGTTTAACATGTTGAGATGGCTGGACTGTTTGCACAGTTTGCCAGTGTGTATTCTCAGTGAGAATAGCCCTTTAACCTGGCAGATAATACAGAAAACCTCCCCAGTTGTTCTATGATTCTGATCCTCCACAATAATAATAGTTCAATCTTTGAATCTGCATCACAAAAAGAGGCCGTGCGGCCCATTGTGCGTTGCGACTTCTTTCACTACCCGTTCCACTTTAATCCTTCCTCCCCGTATCATTTTATTTATTTATTTTTGTCATTAAACCCACTCTCGTCGCTAGCTCCTGGATCATGTTATTCTTGTCCTCACAATTAAGTTTTAAATGCTCTCTTTTTGGCCTCATTTAGAGTCATAGAGGTCTACAGTGCAGAAAAAGGCCCTTCGGCCCATTGAGTCTGTGCTGGTCACAATCAACCACCTAACTATTCTAATCCTATTTTTCAGCACATGGCCCATAGCCTTGGTATCACAAGTGCACAACTAATTGCTATGAGGGTTTCTGCCTCTACCACCCTTATGCGCAGTGAATTCCAGATTGCCAGCACCCTCTGGGTAACAAATTTTTTTTCCTCGCGTCCCCTCTAAACCTTCAGAGATAGAGGGAACTGCCGATGCTGGAGAATTTTCTGAAGAAGAGTCCAGACCCGAAACGTCAGCTTTCCTGCTCCTCTGATGCTGCTTGGCTTGCTGTGTTCCCCCAGCTCTAAGTTCCCTCTAAACCTTCTGTCCCTTACTTTAAATCTGTGCTGCCTGGTCATTGATCAGTCCACCAACGGCCAAAGTTCCTTCCCGTCTACCCTATCTATGCCCGTCACAATTTCAATCATGTCCTCCCTCAATCTCCTCTGCTCCAAGGAAAACAACCCCAGTCTGTTCAATCTCTCCCTCCTAATTAAAAACTCTCCATTGCAGACAACACCCTGGTAAATCTCCAACAAAAGTAGAGTTGCTGGAAAAGCTCAGCAGGTCTGGCAGCATCTGTGAAGAAAAAATCAGAGTCAATGTTTTGGGTCTGGTGAACCTTCCTCAGAATAATATTTGATTATAATTGATTATAACATTTGATCATAATTGATTGTCATTATTGATATATCTCCTCTGCACCAGTGCTATCACATGCCTCCTATAATGTGGATTCCAGAATTGTGCACAGTACTGTAGCTGTGGCCCAACCAATGTTTTATCCTCATTGCCACTGCTAATAACCATAGTTTTAAAAAAATATATATTCTTGATTTTCCCTGTAATGATACCAAGATATTTGACCTTGTTACATAAAAACCGAAAGAACTGCAGATGCTGTAAATCAGAAATAAAAACAGAAGTTGCAGAAAAAGCTCAGCAAGTCTGGCAGCACCTGGGAAGAGAAATCAGAGTTAACGTTTCGGGTTGAGTGACCCTTCCTCAATGGGACGTTTATCAATCTTGCACTGTTTAAAATTTTCATGGTTTTAAAAACCTGGATGAAATTCTTCCCTTTAACTTTCCCTGGGTCTGCAAAACCAGAGTTGAAGATGCTCAGTTACGTAGCAGAGTTATAAAGGAAAGGTTTTTACCTCTCTTGTTCAGGGAGGGCATGCTGTTTTTTTCTGCAGATATTCCTCACTGCTAATGTCTGTTTGTTTCAGAATCAAGCAGTCTTCCCTGGGGCATGTGGAGAGCACCTGCAAGCCATGCCAAGCAGATCAGATGGCCCCTGTGTGCGGTTCAGATGGTCACACCTACTCATCGCAGGTATGACTAGCATTCCAGAGCCCCCAGGATGGACTGGAGTTCATGGCCTGGAATTCTGACATAAAGTAGTAACTTTCAAAGGGGACCAGGGGAAATACTGGAAGGAGCTATGGGGAAAGAGGGGCACTGGGGGATAGCTCTGTCATTAAATTGGCACGGGCTTGATGGACTGAGTGGCCACAACACCATATAATGCAGGAATAGAAACAGGCCATTCAGCCCATCGAGCCAGCTCTCCCATTCAGTGAGATTGAGCCTGATCTGATCATCCTCAACTCCACTTTCCTGCCTTTTCCCCATAACTCTTGATTCTCTTTCTGATTAAAAATCTGTCTATCTCAGCCTTGAATATATTTAATGATCCAGCCTGCGCAGTCCTCTACGCTAAAGAATTCCACAGATTTGCTGCCATCTGAGAGAAGAAATTCCTCCTAATCTCTGCCTTACTCTGGGATAAAGTCCCATCCCACAAGGGGAAGCAACCTCGCTCCATCTACCTGTAAGACCCCCTAAGAAGGCCCAACCTACTCTACCTCTCCTCATGAGAAAATCACTCCATCCCTGGGATTAGCCGCGTGAACCTTCTCTGGACTGCCTCCAATGCCAGTATATCTCACCTTAGATAAGGGACCCAAAACTGTTCACAGTATTTTAGGTGAGATCTGAATAGTGCCTTGTATACTTTTAGCAAGACCTTCCTGTTTTTAGCCCTGTTAAATAAATGCCAAAATTCTGCCTGCCTTCCATATTACCAACACCAGAGGTGCATGGTGGCTCAGTGGTTAGCACTGTTGCCTCACAATGCCAAGTACCCAGGTTTGATTCCAACTTTGGATGACTGGCTGGGTGGAGTTTGCACATTCTCCCCGTGTCTGTGTGGGTTTCCTCCGGGTGCTCCAGTTACCTCCCACGTCCAAAGATGTGCAGGCTAGGTGGATTGCCCATAGTGCCCAGGGATGTGCAGACTAGGTGGGTTAGCCATGGGAAATGCGGGGTTACGGGGATGGGGTGGGAGTGTGGGTCTGGGTGGGATGCTCTTCAGAGGGTCTGTGCAGACTCAATGGGCTGAATGGCCTCTATCTGCACAGTTGGGATTCTGTGATTCTAAGTGGATGCTGGTTGTTTGTGATTTATGTATGGGGATTTCCAAACCCCTCAGTGCTGCAACTTTCTACAGTCTTTCACCACTTAAATAATATTCAGCTCCTCTGTTCTTCCTAGCAAAGTGCATAACCTCAGGTTGCCCTTTTTCTGAGCTGTGCTCTTCTGTGACAGCACAAAGGTCACATTTGCACTGAACCTAATCAATAGAGCTTTATTTCTTCATTGACAATGTTCACAATGTCAGAATCTTCGAAGATTTCTTCACAGGCACGTTTTAGAATTGTATTCAGCTATTGGAGGATATCCCAGGGCATTGCTTACAGTATATCAAGGGATATGCTACATTTTACCATGCAACGCACAAATATTATTATGCTGCATAATATGTTTAAGGTCTGAAGCTTCCTGGGTCAGTTAGAGGCTGTCTGTTCTTCGACAGATGCTTATCTTGGTTAAATGGCCAGGCTATTATGTATTTTAAGCAAACACAAATGCTGAGAAATTCAGCAGATCTGGCAGCATCTGTGGAGAGAGAGAAAAACACAAGCTCTGAAGAAGAATTGAAACTTTAACTCTGTTATGATTCCACATACGCTGCCAGACCTGTTGAGTTTCTCTAGCTTTTTCTGAGCCTGTTTCAGATTTACAGCGTCTGCAGAGTATTGCTTTTACCATTTTTTAGAATTGAAAAATGTAATCCTTGCAGCTGAAACATTTCCAGTGGCCAGGGAAGTTCACTTGTGGAGGTTTTGTCAAGTGTGACCATGTGATGGGCAAGTCTGAGAGTGTTTTAGATTGATTAGCCTGACCTGGGTGGTGTTGCTCACGAAGAGAGTGTGCTCCTTAGTCAGGCTGTGTTACCAACAGACTGAGGGGAGCAGGATATACACACGCATGTGGGTATTCCTCCCCATTTTCTCTTCCTGCTGAGTTATGTTTAAGTGTTTCTCCCCTTCTGGTCTTCACTTTCGAAGTGAGGATTAGGAAATGGGTCAAGGCAGAGCCACTGTCAGCAGGAAAGGTTGTATTCCCCAGCTTCATCTTCCTTAGCGGGCTTCCTGTAAATGTTGGTCTGTTGTGACATGGCATTCCCCCCCCCCCCCCCCCCCCGCAACCCCTGCCCTTTATCCTGTTGATGTCTTGCTGCTATTCTTTAGTCTTGTTTGTTGTTAGCTGTTACCCAAATCAAGTCAACCACTTGAGTTGATAGAATGGGACAGAGTGGCAGATTCCTTCCTCACATTCCACTCCTGAAACAGTTGGATCTCTATAGATCGCCAGATTTCTTGAATTTAGTTCCATAGTTTAACAGAGTGGGATTTGACCTCATGACCAGCAGCTTGCCTAATCCGGTTTGCAAGCAATGGCGCCACGTTACTGTTCGGTTACTGGTCAATCAATTCAGAAGATCAAACTTAAAAATGATGTTCATAGAATCCCTACAGTGTGAAAACAGGCCATTCAGCCCATCCAGTCCACACCACCCCTCTGAAGAGCATCCCACCCATTCCCATTCCCCTATCCTTTCCCCGTAACCCAGCAGTTCCCATGTCTAATCCATCTAATTTACACATCCCTGAACACCACGGGCAATTTCCCATGGCCAATCCACCCTAGCCTGCACATCTTTGGACTGTGGGAGGAAACCCACGCAGACACGGGGAGAATGTGCAAACTCCACACAGACAGTCGCCCAAGTGTGGAATCCGGGTCCCTGGCGCTGTGAGCCAGCAGTGCTAACCACTGAGCCACTGTGCTGCCCATGATGTAGGCTGACAGCTTTGTCTGAGCTCTCTGCAAGTGACTGCTGTAATCTGGCTATTCTGTTTTTTTGGTAATTGAAGAGGTTGTATTAATATTCACAGCCCTCCTAGCTGGTTGTTACGTTATCCCATTTGTGGTTATGACAGCCTTAAATTATGGAAGAGTCCCAGACGATTGCAATACGTTAATGTAACACACTTAGTCAAAAAGGAAGAGAAGCGTAAACCTGTGACTGTAGGTCGATTGGCTTAGCATCTGTCATTGACAAATATTAGAGTCTGTTATAAAGGCTATAATAGCAGAGCATTTCAACACATATAATGCAATCAAGCAGAGTCAGAATGGTTTTCTGAAGCAGAAATCATGTCAAACATTGTTCTGAGAATTCTTTGTTGAGGCAACAAGCGAGATAGATAAGGAGAAATTAGTAGATGTAATATATTTGGATCTCACAAGGCATTCAGTAAGGTACAGGCAGCACAGTGGCTCAGTGGCTAGCACTGTTGCCCTGCTGTGCCAGGGACCTGGGCTCGATTCCAGCCTCAGGGGACTGGCTGTGTGGAGTTTGCATGTTCTCCCGGTGTCTGCGTTGGTTTCCTCCCACAGTCCAAAGATGTGCAGGTGAGGTGGATTTGCTGTGCTAAATTGCTCGTAGTGTGCAGGGTAGGTGGATTATCCATGGGGGAATTGCACAGTTACAGGGATAGGGCGGGGGGGGCTGGTGGGGCTGGGTGGGCTGCTCTTCGAAGTGTTGGCATAGACTTGATGGGCCGAATGGCCTGTTTATGACCTGAATGAGGGAAATGTCACCATGTTTGTGGAATTTTTCTGTTTGCGACAGTTTGTTATGGTTGCTTTGGGTTTATACCCATGATGTGCAGTGCCGGTGTTGGACTGGGATGGACGAGGTCAGAAATCACACGACACCAGGTTATAGTCCGACAAGTTTATTTGAAAACACAAGCTTTTGGAGCTCACTCCTTCTTCAGGTGTCAGTGAGAGAGGTAGCATCAGACACAGAGTTTACAAGTAAAAGATCAAAGGTTCACACCACTGATGAGGATGTATTAAACAAACCTAAGATGCTGTTAAATCTTTAAACAGCCAGAGGTTTTAATTGATTAATATGTACATGTAAATCCCCGAATCCCTTTCAAGTCACGGTCCTGAGAGAACTAAAGGTTTTATCAGAAGAGGTAAAGAAGAGGTGACATTTTAGTTCAGACAATGCATGGTAGGTGTGAGGCCTTGTTAAGAAACTTTGTGCTTTGGTTTGGAGTCAGACTGGTTTTATTTCTAAAGTAGGAATTTATAAAACGCCATATTGACTGTCTACAAATTGTGTGCTTTTTGAACAAAATAAGATGTATCTGCAAATAAAGATTAACCCTTTATATTCACGTGTGTGTGTGTGCGCGCGTGTGCGTGTGTGTGTGTGCGTGTGTGTGGGTTTATACCCAGCATCAGTGAATTGATCCAGAATTAAAATAACCTTCTGTGAGAGAAAACTAACAGGAGACAATTGAAAGAAAAAAATTAAAAGGAATTCATAACCATAACCGTGGAATTCCATTAATTAGCTGATAACTCATTCCAAAATGGTTGAATCCACAAAGTAGATGCACCCAGTTGAATTCATCCATTGACTTGTTCTAATCTCTCTTTGTCTCCTGCTTTCTCTTCCTCTCCCCTCTCTTCTTTTCTCTCTCTCCCCACAGTGTAAGCTGGAACTACAGGTATGTCTGACTGGGAAACAGCTCAGCCAGCAGTGTGAAGGCAAATGCCCATGTCCAACAGAGCACGCTCCAACCTCTGACCCTGCGAGCAAGTCAGGTGAATGCCAGGCGCGGGCTTAGAGCTCCAATGATATTGATGATGATAACCCACATCACTCTCAGACAAATTGGACACAAATATAAACCAACCATTGCTCCATGCCCATTGCCAATGGATCCTCACTCACTGAGTCTGTTCAAGTTGGAGATTGATACATTATACTCAGACATCGAGTGGTGTGGAGAAAGGGCAGAAAAATGTAGCTGGTTAAAAAAGTCAGCCATGATTGTATTGAATGATGGAACAAGGTAAGGGATCATATGGCCAACTCCTGCTCCTAATTCTTCTATTCTTAACTAATTGAAAAACTCTATCTGGTTGGAACCATCACCCAGGCAAAGTGGAGGTTAGTGACAAAGAATGTATTTATTGACACTAAGCCTTGATTTATTTTTTTCAAAATTATACCTTATTTATTAGATTTGTAAAAGTGCATTACCATACACAGTGACTTATAAATCAAAGAAAGGACGATAAAATTCAACGTGCCTCCCTGCAACGTGATCCATTCTTAGATGTCTCAATCCAATTGTAAAACTTCTAATGTTTACAATATACATCCTATATCAGACATAAGCCTTGGGTAGTGTTGTAGAACAGAGATTCCTTGGGGTTCAGGTACATAATGCTTTGAAGTTTGCGTCACATATAGACAGGATGGTTAGGAAGGCATTAGGCACGCTTGCCTTCATTGCTCAGACCCTTGAGTATAGGAGTGGGAACATCATGTTGTGGTTGTACAGGACGTTGGTGAGGCCTCTTCTGGAGTACTGTGTCCAGTTCCAGTCACCCTGTTCTTGGAAGGATATTATCACTCTGAAGAGGGTTCAGAAAATATTTACCAGAATGTTCCCAGGGATGGAAAGTTTGAGTTACAGGGAGAGGCTGGATAGGCTGGGACTTTTTTCACTGGAGCATAAGAGGTTGAGAGGTGACCTTACAGAGGTTTTTAAAATCAAGAGGGGTAAAGATAAGGTGAATAGCAGGTGTCTTTTCCCTATAGTGGGGGTTTCAAGACTAGGGGGCATATTTTTAAGGTGAGAGGAGAAAGACTTAAAAAGGACATGAGGGACAACTTTTTTAGGCAAAGGGTAGTTCATGTGTGGAATGAACTTCCAGAGGAAGTGGTGGATGCGGGTACAGTTACAACGTTTAAAAGACGTGTGGATAAGTACATGAAAAGGAAAGATTTGGAGAGATATGAGCCAAGTGTAGGCTGGTGGGACTAAGTTAGTTTGGGATTATGTTTGGACTAAAGGGTCTGTTTCTGAGCCGTATGGCTCTATGACTCTAAGAGAAGGTCAGAGGCTGGGATTCCTGCAGTGAGTAATTCATCTCCCCACTCCCCAGAGCGGGTCCACCATCGAGTGACATGGGCCAAGCACAAGCAGATGGGACTAGTTTAAATTGGGATTATGGTTGGCATGGACTGGTTGGATTAAAGAGTCTGTTTCCATGCTGTATAACTCTATGACCGTGACCTGATGATAAACAATTTCAAATTGAAAATTACAGAAAGTGCAATAGAAATAAACTTTTCTCTAGACAGCCTGTTCCACTCTGAGATGCTACAATATAATTTTGATACTATCAGGCATAGGTTATTGGGGTTAAATGAGAATTCAGGACATGGCCAGATCATCCATGATCTTATTGAATGTCAGCAGTCATACAACACCAGGTTATAGTCCAAAGGATTTATTTGAAAGCACTAGCTTTTGGAGCTTCTTTGTCACCTGATGACGAGGCTACTCTTTGAAAGCTTGTGATTTCAAATAAACCTGTTGGACTATAACCTGGTGTCATGTGACTTCTGACCTTATACACCCCAGTCCAACACCAGCACCTCGACATCTTCATTGAACATCAGCGCAGGCCCAAGGGCCGAGCGAACTACTCCAGCTCCTAATTCAAATGTTTGAAAGTAATGGGTTCAAGAAGTTACCAGTTGGCAGCAGCTACCCCAACTCTTTATTTCCCAAAAAGATATTCTATTTGTCCAAAAAATTTACAAAACCATTTCAACTTAAACCTTACAGAATTTGCAATGATATTCACCTCGTCTCCATCCAGCGTGTTTTCCTTTCCAAAAATTTATGTCGTTCATAAAATTAGTAAACAAATTTAGGAAAACAGTTCAGCTTGAATCTTCTAGAACTTGCAACAATATTCAACTAATCCCGAAGAAATTGTGGATGCTGTAAATCAGGAACAAAAACAAAGTTGCTGGAAAAGCCCAGCAGGTCTGGCAGCATCTGTGAAGGAGAAAACAGAGTTAACGTTTCGGGTCCCTTCTGAGGAAGGGTCACCGGACCCAAAACGTTAACTCTGTTTTTACCTTCATGGATGCTGCCAGACCTGCTGAGCTTTTCCAGCAACTTTGTTTTTGTTCCATTCAGCTAATCCCTATAGTGTACTGAGGGGCTGGACAGTGTAGAACTACTTGGGCTGTGTGCCTCACATTGTAAATCAAGAGGATTGAAAATGTATTGAGGTACATCTATGTGGAGCGTGACGTACAGAGAAAAAAATGGATCTTTTGCACTTTCTGTAGTTTAAATAGTCATTTGGTCATACAGCACTTGAGTATTGCTGAAAAAGGATACCTTTTGTTCACCGTCTCATTGTGCACTCATCAGGACATTTTCCAAGAATACCAATTCGAGGGGAAAACTGATATTCATATTGCGCAAGGGCAGAGTGCTCAAATGAGTGCTGGTGACCCAAAACGTTAACTCTGATTTCTCTCCACAGATGCTGCCAGACCTGCTGAGATTTTCCAGCTACTTCTGTTTTTATTTCTGATTTACAGCATCCGCAGTCCTTTCAGTTTTCAATGCTTGTCATTAGTTTTGTTGAGTTGAAGCAGGAGCAACGTGTGTACACGTTCTTTCTGTCTGAGTATTAATGTATGTAACGCACAGGCTCAACTGACAATCTTGAGTGCAAGATTAAAAGCATCGACCAAATGTATCCTTTTTCAGCAATACTCAATTTCTGTGATGTCTAATTTGGATTGTTTTCACCTTTTGGGCTGTATATCTGGCATGAAATGCATTTTGTAAATATTAAGTCTATTGCAATCAAATTGAGTGGAACATTCCTGGACTAGCATGCAGACCAGCATTTCACCCTGTGACTCTACAATTCAGTAGCCATCTCACTGTTAAAACTGACCTGACATCATTCCCAGTATTAGGAGTCAAATTCCCATTTAGCTATCAACACACCATTTTTACTTCGATTTTGTGCTTATTCTAAATCAACCCTTTGAAGAAAGATGCTAGATTCAGAAAACAAAAATTACATCTTCACAGGAGTAGCTGAGTAGCTCTTTTGGGAGCCAGTATAGCCACAATGGATCAAATGGCTTTCTTTTGTACAGTAAAATTCTATGATTTTGTCTCAGCAGGACTTATACACTTAACGGTAAGGCACTGGGGAGTGTTGCTGAACAAAGAGACCTTCGAGTGCAGGTTCATAGTTCCTTAAAAGTGGAGTCACAGGTAGACAGGGTGATGAAGAAGGTATTTGATGTGCTTGCCTTTATTGGTCAGTGCATTAACTACAGGAGTTGGCTGTACAGGACATTGGTTAGGCCACTTTTGGAATATGGTGTTCAATTCTGGACTCCTTGCTGTAGGAAAGATGTTAAACTTGAAAGGGTTCAGAAAAGATTTACAAGGATGTTGCCAGGGTTGGAGGGTTTGAGCCACAGGGAGAGGCTGAGTATGCTGGGGTTATTTTCTCTTGAGCGCCAGAGGCTGAGGGCTAACCTTACAGAAGTTTATAAAATCATGAGGGGCATGGATAGGGTGAATAGCCAAGGCCTTTTCCCCAGGACAGGGGAGTCTAAAACTAGAGGGCATAGGTTTAAGGTGAGAAGGGAAAGATTGAAAAGGGAGCTAAGGAGTAACTTTTTAACAGAGGGTGGTTGCGTGTATGAAATGAGCTGCCAGAGGAAGTGGTGGAGGCAGGTACAATTGCAACATTTAAAAGGCATCTGGATGGGTATATGAATAGGAAGGATTTAGAGGGATATGGGCCACATGCTGGCAAATGGGACTAGATGCATTTAGGATGGACGAATTGGACCAAAGGGTCTGTTTCTGTGCTATACATCTCTATGACTCTATGACTATGGCTTCACTTATGAGGCTACCACTTCAGCTCTGTCTCTGTTTGCATACTTGTGTACACAGGCCTTGATGTTCCCTCATTTCATTCGCCTAAGTAAAGCCTAATTTTATATCTTGTTCAAATCTAAAATTCAATTGAACTTATACTGAATCTGAGAAATATTTATGAATGTTTAGTTATATAACTTCAAATCTCACTCTAGGCTGCAGGATTTGAGTGTGCAATCCAAGCTAGATTAGACACTTGCATTCTGGACTTGAATAACCAATTGCATGAAATCATTTTTCTGACTCTGATCTAGGTTTCCAGCACTCTTCCTAATGTTGTGGGAGCATAGGAACAGGAGTAGGCCATTCAGCCCCTCAAGCCTGTTCCACCATTCAATGAGATCACGGTTGATCTGTGGCCTAACTTCTGTGGCCTTTGGCCCATATCCCTTAATACTACTTCTAAACAAAGATTTATCTATCTCAGATTTAAAATTAACAATTAATCTAGCATCCAAAGAGCATATGCAAGAGTGTTCCTAATATCTATCATCTTTTGTGTGTAGAAGTGCTTTGACATCCCTCCTGAAATTCTCAGACTATGCTACTTGTTCTATAATCTCCAACCAGTGAAAATACTTTACCTTTCTCTACAGAGAGATAGCAAGAACTGCAGATGCTGGAGTTAGAGATAACAGTGTGGAGCTGGAGAAACACAGCAGGCTCTAAAGAAGGGTCCCGACCCGAAACGTCAACTTTTCTGCTCCTCTGATGCTGCCTGGCATGATGTGTTCCTCCAGCTCCATGCTGTATTATCTTTCTCTACCCTGTCCTTTCCTGTTAATATCTTGAAGACTTCGATTAGATTACCCCTTAACTTTCTAAATTCTTGAGAAAACTTGCCTAATTTATATAATCTCATAACATAACTCCTGAAGGCGGCACGGTGGCTCGGTGATTAGCACTGCTGCCTCACAGCACCAGGGACCTGGGTTCGATTCCAACCTCAGGTGACTATCTGTGTGGAGTTTGCACATCCTCCCTGCATCTGCATGGGTTTCCTCTGGGTGCTCTGGTTTCCTCCCACAGTCCAAAGATGTGCGGGTTAGTTGGATTGGCCATGGGAAATTGCCCGTAGCGTTCAGAGGTGTGTAGATTAGGGGGATGGGTCTGGGTGGGATGCTCTGAGAGTCAGTGTGGACTTGTTGGGCCGAAGGGCCTGTTTCCACACTGTAGGGATTCTATGAACTATAAGTCCAGGTAGAATTCTTGAAAACCTAAATTGTACTCCCTTCTAGGCCAATATCTCCTTCCTAGGGCAAGGTGCCCAAGTAAATCGAATGTCCTCCTTGTAATTAATTGTGTAATCCATAGTTTTGGATGTTTCATTTGCCAATTGGTACACCAAGAATTAGTGCAAATATTTTTTCAACTCTTGTTAAATTTGGACATGGAAATTGGTAAATGAAGCAAGACTCATGTCATCTAATTTGTCTAGCATTATCTTGGGATTGGCATTATACATTTAAAATGGGATTGTTGAATGATTGGAGTGACTAATTGCTATCGATGAGCCTATAATAGATTCAGACATGAGGTGGGAGTGATAGAGAGCAAGGGAACTGGAGATGGGACACAAGTGATGCTGCATTGTTTGCTTATTTTACAGGATGTTCATTTTCAGCTGAGCTGATGTCTCAGGTTTGTTGCATAGCAGGTAATCCAGGGTCTCGTTTCTCCTTAAATAAAAACCAAAAGAACTGCGGATGCTGTAAATCAGGAACAAAAACAAAGTTGCTGGAAAAGCTCAGCAGGTCTGGCAGCATCTGTGAAGGAGAAAACAGAGTTAATATTTTGGGTCTGGTGACCCTTCGAAGGATCTTAACTCTGTTTTCTCCTTCACAGATGCTGCCAGACGTGCTGAGCTTTTCCAGCAATTTTGTTTTTGTTCTTGTTCCTCCTTGTTCCCACTCCTGCCCCAATGTTCATTTTCAACTCTCGTGGATTTATCACTCTTCTCAAGCATACTGCATTTACAGCACACCGTCCCGCCCACTAACAGTCAAAGAGTTCAACATTTGCACCCCTATATCTCAGAGCCAAGCACTCTCCGAGTAATTCTATCATTTGTTCTCTCCTTTCCTCTCCAGCTGGCTGCACCGGTCAGGATCTAGCAGATCTTGGCGATCGACTCAGGGACTGGTTTCAGCTGCTGCGTGAAAATGCGAAACAGAACAGTTCAGGGAGTTCTGGGGCCAGTGCGTCCAGCGGTAAGCTTCAGAGAGACTCTCCCCAGCACTTAGAACAAGCTGCATTCAGAGCAAGACATTGACTCGTACAAATTGCACATACCATCATAGGCAGTGTGTTGTGGACTAGACCCTGTCAAGATATTTTAAGAAGGTAGCCTGGACCCTAACTTTTTCTTATTTTAAATGTAAGTGTGAAGTGTCTGTTGCTGATGCAATGCAACTGGACAAACTACTCAACATAATTTATTTAAAGAAGCAGAAAGGCTGATGTTTCGGGCCTAGACCCTTTTCTGATGAAGAGTCTAGGCCCGAAACGTCAGCCTTTCTGCTCCTATGATGCTGCTTGGCCTGCTGTGTTCATCCAGCCCTGCACC